AAATACGTAAGCGTTTGCAGACATCAACACTCCTCGTTCTCACCACGTACTTTCACGTAAGTATCCGGAACTGTCAAACGCAGTCGGACTTATTCCGACCCCGTCGCAGAAGTAGTCAATGATCAGAAAGCGACTGGCCGGGCACCATTTCAGCAGCACAGGCACCGCCAGAGTTTCGAACCACTCAGGCTTCAACAGCTGCTTCACCCTCTAGAGCGAAAAAAACAGCACATCGCTACAAAGCTTATACGGAAAATGCAAATACGGTAAAGGCAAGTTAAAAACAATTTCAGTAATTTCAGTGCTAAGACTTAGGGGGCGCAAACACTTAAACTGTGTAATTGTGTTCATTATCTATCACTAGTGTTTTCTCATTAACGTCCGTTGCTGGAAAACAATAAAACAGCGAGGCATCAAGTATTAACTTTGGTAACATTTGAAACAGCGCTCTCACGCCCTGTGTACTATCTGATCAACATAGAGAACTTGAATGACCTCTGCAGGTATGTCGTGTGGACTAACTGAAACCGGCTGAAAACTGGCTTCAACTTAGTTATCAAGCAAGTGTCTGTCCCCATTTGGTGATGACGATCATGCTCGTTCAATCTGTGCCAAAAACATGTCAGTGTCATTTCACTTCTGTCACATGATACCTCTTTAGGGAGGGTCGAAGAACCAAATTCATGCGGCAGAATAGGTACGTACTAAGCCTTTAGCCTGCAACGTCTTTGACCTAAGGCTAAACGACTGTCTAAAGATAGTGAGTGATCTCCTTACAGAAGTAATATGTCAACGAATCTGCAGTATCGCGGGCTTTGCAGCAATTAACTAAGCACCGTCTGCCTGTACACCGTGAAATTGTGAGTCGATTTTCTCAACACAAGGGTTTACAACTTTATCTTTGTTTTTAGTGGTGCTGAAGCCGAACGTTACAGGCACATCTTTAGAGCAGCACACAGAGCCACTCACGTGAGTACGGGCAGCAGTGAAACAGAACAACGTTATCGACGGAGGCCAAGTACGGGAATGCAACTTCGTTAACTGATGTGCCGCAAGAGTGCATTACACGTCAGAAAGTGAAATCATCGCCTATAAGAAAACGCGGATGCAGCAATGCGGCATTGCCGTCGATTAATTACATGGCAAGGGGGCAAGAGGCAGATCCTGTCGCGGACCGTGATGCCGACAATAGAACATGGCGACGAAATTATACTCAGTATGACGTTCGACGTCTGCTATTTTCAAATGTTCTCAACAACTCCCATCCTTCTGAACGAGTCCAAGACAGTTTTAACGTTCACATATTACACCTGCAGATGCTTCTTTATGAACTCTCTTACGTGGTGTTGCAAAGACTATAAAGGCGAACATGTCTTTCAGAACTGACATATGTACCATTCTAGGTACTAGGTGCTAATAAGGTCTTACCTGCCAGCCTATATGTATATCAGTCTATCTCTATTTGTCGTTCCGTCAGGAAACTCGTATCTACTTAGTCACAGCTTCAATTTCCCGTTCGTCGATTTCATCACTATGCTTATCTCCTCTGTTTGGCTAGTCGATCAGCTCGTCAATCCATCGGGCAGATGTCTGCCTTCTCAACCTTTTTTTAACCTACCGATCAACCCATTTACTAATGCACCTATACATCAGTCCGTCGGCCGCGATATTTATAAGGCATTCACAAACCTGAGTATAATTATCACACACAGTTCTTCGTTACATCTTAGATCTGGTGCTATAAAGGAACCAGGTTGAAACTCTGCTTATAAGCAAGCATCTGACAACTAAATATATATTTGGTGCCTTCTCAGGTCAAATAAGGTTTATTAACTTTTGCAGGAATGCAAAACTCCGCCGTTGCCAGTCCCAAGACCGGATGAGAAAGGAGGAAGATTGGAGACCGTGGCAAGTCTCCGCAAAACTCAGCCACCTGCCACTTAAGGTATTGACACCATCGAAAATTATACCGGCTCGATCATCGCCCGGGATACCAAGGGCCGCGCAGACCGTTGGGGGACGGAGGCAGACTGCGAAAGGGCGGCGATCAGAACCTCCTCATTGCCCACAGCCAGCCGCGGGCGTGGCAGAACAACGACGGCTGACGAAGACCGACACAACGACGACGAAGATAT